ATCAATTCTCAAAAAATTTCTGATTTATTTTTGAGAGGAGATAATTATTTGTATGGTTGAAGAGAGAAATTTTAATCCAAATTTTTAAAATAAACTTACAAAATAATATTTTAATGGATTAATATTTTTGCTTAAAATAATTTTGTAAAATATAAACTTACATAGGTAAATACAGATTAAATTTATCTGAGATAACTTTGGTTTCTATACATAAAGTTGCTTTAAAAGAGAAAATATGGCCTCAAAAAGTATCCCAGAGCAAGAATTTCTGGCAGTATTATGCCTTTACAAGAAGTTTCAAACAATCGTCAAATACAAATAATAGAAAGAAACATTACCATAATTGAAAGTGAGGTAAATGAGAGTGACTGCTGGCAAAAGACTTGATATTACTGCCAAAGAACTAGATACTGCTTGTAGAAGACTACTTAGTGTTGGTAGATGACTAAATGCTGACAATGAAAGACTAGACACTGCAAATAGAAAAAGCATTATTTAGTCTTCTGCTCACAAAAACTAAATAATGCTACGAGAAGACTAGATATTTCTAACAGAATACTAAACACTGCTAATGGAAGACTAAAACATGTTTAAACATAAAAGTTAACTCCACTCTGGCGGCTATTCTTCTGTTGGTCTGAATAAATTCCTAGGTTTTCCAGTTTCAGTTTGTCCTTTTGATTCCTGAGAGAAGCTCCTATGGTCTTGTTAGGTTTGTAGGTGGTGGAGATGTCATGTTTATGTAGAAGTATTCCTATACGGTCAGTTGTTCCTGTAATGTAGGGTAGTACGATATTGGATCTGCTGTTCTTTTCTTGTAGGGGTCGATGACTTTCTTCACCATATACTTGCAATAGCCATTTTGGGAAAGGACCAGAGTTACCTTCGTTATTTCTTCTGGTCTGCTTTCGTTGTCCAATAATCGAATGGATCTTGAAATCAGGGAGTTGGCGACTGACTGTATCTGTTAAGGTATCGATTTGTGAGCGTAGGTATTCTGTAGACGGTATGTTGAAGCCTGTTGGAAGAATTCGTTACGAGTACGTCAAGAAATCGAAGCTGTCCGTTTTCTTCTATTTGCATTTCTGAAAGTCATGGAGCTTTTCTTCATGGACCAAATAACGAAGATATCATCGACATAGTGAATCCATAACGTGGGTTTGTGTCTGGCTTCTCTTAACGCTTTTCTCTCGAATTAGATCATGAAAAGGTTGGCGATGACTGGGGACAGCGAGGAACCCATGGCTGCTCCTTGTACTTGCTTGTAGATATGGCCGTCGAATCGAAAGTAAGCATTCGTAAATCTTCGTTCTCTCTGATTTGTTTGAGGGCCTCTTCGATAGGGATATTGGGATAGAGAGACTTGACATCGGAGCTCACCATGATGTTGCTCTCTTCAAGTTGAACGCTGTCCAAGATGTGCGTGAAATGTTCAGAGTTTCGTATGTAGACTAGATACTTTTCAAGTTTTTGTAGCGGTGAGTTGAAGGCGCTGACAATGGGTCGCAGTTGGACATACGGCTTATGGATTTTGGGTAGACCATAGAGTTTGGGACACCTGCTTGATTTTTCCTTTGATTTTCTTGATCTCGGGGTTTATTGGAGATGCCTCTATTTTTAATTTGGACGTTTTTTCTTGGTGCTGGTTTGTAAGCTGAGTCCTTCAGTAAGTCCGTGATCTTGTTCTTATAGTCCACTTCTTCCGTTATTTGAGCAAAAACTTCTTCTTGGAGGTTCCTAATGCGTCTTCGTTTCCCAACTGATAAGGATGAAAAAATTGAAAAGCTTAGGCTATCTTAAGCTGGTTATTTACCAGCAAGCTCCACGTAACATTTCAACTGATGCTCATAATTACTTTTAAGTTGAAAATCAAGTAATTAGAAAGACTACCGTGATTGATTTCTATTAAATTCCCAGTAATACAATAAAAGCTCGCAATAAATAAGGAAAGGGTTGGGTTTCGTGTAATAGAAAAATTCCGATTGGCATTTTCGCTCAGTGGTAGTCGTCTTTTGATGACCTCCCGATTGATAGAAAGAAGAACCCGAAGTCGGAGTCGATAAATTTAATTGTGATTTCCTCGCGCACGATACAATATCAAATAGAGGGAGTGTCTTTAACCCCATTTGGGCTTGACTAGATAGCCCAAAAACTTCAGATTTAAAAAGAATGATTAAAATAGGAAAGAAAATCTTAACGAGCACAATGAAAGTGACATTTTAATTTCTTTTTATGAAAAGATAAAGGGATATTCGCTAATACCCTTTAAAACAGGTGAAACCTAAAATCTAGGACAACGTAGGGTAGGGCGAAATGTCGTGACATTATAAAGGAAAAGAATTTATTCCTTTTTTTAACAAAAATAAATATTAAGTCAAAATTTCTATCAACAGTTAAGTGTTCCAGTTTAATTCTTTTAATCATTAAAACAAGTTCTTCTTAACCTATTTAATTATGGATTTTAATAATGGGTCATATCACTGGAAATATCTTTGTCTAAAAGCTGAAGAACTCGTAGCCTATACCCTGGCAGTGAAAACCACACGGAGAAACGAAATCGAACCTCTTTAATGTTTAATTATGGGAAAGGAAACATCGCATGATGTGGCCCAAACTGTTTCTCACATAAAATTGGTTCGGTTTTGCGATCCCTCCAACTTTTCGAGTTTATTCATTTGAAGAGTGAAAAGAACATGTGTGATCTATTAATAATTAAAAATATTTATTGTTTCTTTGAATTGTTATTAAATTCAAGTTAAAATCGATCTTTTAACAATAATTTAATAAGAAAATAATAATTTAATAAAATTAAATTTGATTTAAAAACCGCCATCTATGTGTAAATTTGCGAAGTTAGGCCGATTAAAAAGGAATATCCTCGAAATAATTTCTTTTTAAAAAAATATCAATAAGTTTAAACAAATTATTCAAAGAAAAATAAACAATTATGATAAATAAACAACTTTTCTTAAAATGACCTTGAGTTTTAATTAAAAGTTTAAACCTAAATAATCATTTAAAAAGCAACTATAACCTAAAAGATTAAATTCTTTTAAATTTAGCAAAGCAACGATACATTTTAGCCTTTAAATGCAATAATTAAATTCAAGTTAAAATCGATCTTTTAATAATAATTTAATAAGAAAATTTATTATCAAGAATTAAATTTGATTTAAAAACTGCCATCTATGTGTAAATTAGCGAAGTTAAGCCGATAAAAAAGGAATTCCCTGGAAATAATTTTTTTTAAAACACAAATATCAATAAGTTTAAACAAATTATTCAAAGAAAAATAAACAATTATGATAAATAAACAACTTTTCTTATAATGACCTTGAGTTTTAACTAAAAGTTTTAACCTAAATAATCATTTAAAAAGCAACTATAACCGAAATGAAACTAAACGATACATTTTAGCCCTTAAATGCAATTAAATTAAATTCAAGTTAAAATCGATCTTTTAATAATAATTTAATAAGAAAATTTATTATGAAGAATTAAATTTGATTTAAAAACCGCCATCTATGTGTAAATTAGCGAAGTTAAGCTGATAAAAAGGAATTTCCTCGAAATAATTTCTTTTTAAAAAAATATCAATAAGTTTAAACAAATTATTCAAAGAAAAATAAACAATTATGATATATAAACAACTTTTCTTAAGACGACCTTGACTGTTAATTAAAAGTTTAAATTTAAACAATCATTTAAAAAGCAATTATAACCTAAAAGATTAAATTCTTTTAAATTTAGCAAAGCAACGATACATTTTAGCCCTTAAATGCAATTAAATTAAATTCAAGTTAAAATCGATCTTTTAATAATAATTTAATAAGAAAATTTATTATGAAGAATTAAATTTGATTTAAAGACCGCCATCTATGTGTAAATTAGCGAAGTTAAGCCGATAAAAAAGGAATTTTCTCGAAATATTTTTTTTTAAAACATATCAATAAGTTTAAATAAATTATTCAAAGAAAAATAAACAATTACGATACATAAACAACTTATCTTAAGACGACCTTGACTATTAATTAAAAGTATAAATTTAAACAATCATTTAAAAAGAAATTATAACCTAAAAGATTAAATTCTTTTAAATTTAGCAAAGCAACGATAGATTTTAGTCCTTAAATGCAATTAAATTAAATTCAAATTAAAATCGATATTTTAATAATAATTTAATAAGAAAATTTATAATGAAGAATTTAATTTGATTTAAAAACCGCCATCTATGTGTAAATTAGCGAAGTTAAGCCGATAAAAAAGGAATTTCCCCGAAATAATTTCTTTTTAAAAAAAATATCAATAAGTTTAAACAAATTATTCAAAGAAAAATAAACAATTATGATATACAAACAACTTTTCTTAAGACGACCTTGACTTTTAACTAAAAGTCTAAAATTAAACAATCATTTAAAAAGCAATTATAACCTAAAATATTAAATTCTTTTAAATTTAGCAATGCAACGATACATTTTAGCCCTTAAATGCAATTAAATTAAATTCATGTTAAAATCGATCTTTTAATAATAATTTAATAAGAAAATTTGTTATGAAAAATTAAATTTGATTTAAAAACCGCCATCTATATGTAAACTATCGAAAGTTAAGCCGATAAAAAAGGAATTTCCTCGAAATAATTTTTTTTTAAAACAAATATCAATAAGTTTAAACAAATTATTCAAAGAAAAATAAACAATTATGATATATAAACAACTTTTCTTAAGGCGACCTTGACTTTTAATTAAAAGTTTAAATTTAAACAATCATTTAAAAAGCAATTATAACCTAAAAGATTAAATTCTCTTTAAATTTAACAAAGCAATGATACATTTTAGCCCTTAAATGCAATTAAATTAATAAATTACTTAACCGTTTTAATATAAACACCTAAACCCACATTGTAAACAAAACGACTTTCTAACCTATTTCCCTTGGAAATAACCACTTTGAAAATTCAAAAATTTAAACAGTTTAAGGGTCGTTGAATGATAACTTACCCCTTTCTGAGGGTCATTCACACGGGTAGAAGGGACGGAATACAATCAAAATTCTCGAAACGGTTCGTCAAAGAAGCGCGAGCGTAAACACAACCATATTGTCACACTGATTTTTTTTTTTGCAACAATTTATACACCTGTTTTCCACTAAAACTAAAAATCTCCCTAAATTTGCCTTCAATAAAAACGAGCTTAACTCAACGTCAACCCAAATTTTAATCTTACAGTGAATTATTTTACTTGAAGAGTATTTTTAGGATTTTTAGAAATAGTACGGTGACGTTTTTTTACGCGAAAAACGCGCCAAAATGTGAAATGACAGATTTATTTTTATTTTTTTTTGACAGGTGATATAACCTCAAAAAAATTTAATAAACATAACCTCAAACCAAAATAAGGTTTTTGCATTAACAACGATTGTGCAACTTCTTTAAAACACATTTAGTGTAAGAGCTCCGTTATAAAAAGTGAAGAAGAATTGCGAAATTATTGATAAGACGAAATTTCTTGTTGATGCTTTTAATCGGAAGATTTATTCTGTTGCGTTTATATCAAATGTGAGCGTTAAATTTGCAAATAAATCAAAAAATATGGAAAAATCTTGGTTGGGTGTTAGTTTAGAAGAATTGTGTGATGGAAAAGGAGCTTACTCGTTTAGCGTTTCACCTGTGTCACCTTCAAAATATCACACGGTTCTTTATGAACTTCCCGTTGATCTTAAAACACCTCCAAAACCACATAGAAATTTTACGAATCATCATTGGGATGACGATCATGTTAAAATGCCTTATTCGCCAAAAAATTATTTTTTATTTAAAAATGTATTTATTTAAATCATAATTATTAAAAATGTCTAATTTATGTTGTGATTTTAGGAGAATAACGAAGAAATCTTAAAATCAAGATGGGGTACAATGATAGAGGCCTTTTCAAAAACGATTACTTCAAGTTATGAATTTGAGGCAGCTGTAAGGAGTTATCAGCCCATTTTACCTAAATTTGATGCATTGCATTATTTGTTTAATGAGGTAATTAATTTAAAATTGATTATTGTAAGAATAAACGATTTTAATTTAAGGTAATAAGTGAAGAAGAAAGTGAATTGTTTTTTAAAAGCATGCTCCCAGAAATTGTGAACCTTGCTATAAAACTACCAGAAATTCTGCCTGGAAATTTACCAATATTGAAAAAAGAACAAAATCATTCGATTAGTTTGAGTCAATTACAAATAGCTTCTTTAACGGCGAATGCATTTTTATGTACATTTCCTCATCATAAAGATGCATCTCCTTTATGTCCAGGATTTAATTTTTATAGGTATTTATATATTTATTTACAATTTATGGGTACAGAGACACGACAAACCTTCGAGCGGGCGCGCTTAATTTTATAATCGAGCATTTTCATTTTCATTTTGCTAAAGTAAAAATATTTAATTTAAATTAAACAATTGTTAAAAACATAAAATTGAATCAATGAAATTGATTAATTTTTGAAATCTAACAACATTTACAAACTACATACCAATAGAACCTTTTTCATTGAATACAACTTCATTTATATCAGGTTTGTCATTAGCAACCTCATTGCAACAATCCCAATATGATATATAAAATCTCTTGTAGGTTCGTCTAGCTTTCTTCTCTTCGCTTGTAATTCATCATCACATTCATTACTAACAGAACTGTCGCTGTTTTCACTTGCGATTATTAATTAAAGCATCCTCTTTTTAATGCAAAAAACCGTTTTTAAAAATCACCTTCAGTTCTTGAGAAATAAATTTTTGAAATGATTGACAATTTTTTCGAATTTTACAATTTTCGCCGATTAAGTTTTAAAAATTCGTATAAAATCCAGTTCTTGGAATATGAGTATGAAAATTTGTCTTCTTTCCAATGAACCAAGCCGTTTTGAAAAATAGCTTTTAGTTTTTGAGAAAATAATATTTGAAGTTTTGATAAAATTTACAAAGTTGCAATTTTCATCGATAATTTTCAAAATTCGCTTTAAAATTAATTTCTTGAAGGATCCTTGTGGAAATATCACCAATTATTATAGATTTTAATTTTTTTCCGCCATTTTTAAACGAGTTATGACGTCATCGATATTTTTTTCAAGTGGCAATCTCCCATTTTTATTACGGAATATGAAAGAGGATTTTGTTTTGAATCCAGTACAGTCAATATTAATATTGGTTACATAAAAAAACTTTCGAGAAAAATTACTTTAAAGTTTAACTATTCAAATTTGAATAACATGATAAAAATAGCAGTAGCCATGAGTAGCTATGGTAACCAATCACTTTAAACAATTTCCTAAGTATCAAAAAATGGCGTAGTAAGTAGTTGAGCTCTTTAATACAACATATCCTGATCGTCAACTCATTAGCCAAAGTATGGTGAGCCTATCTGTGAGCAAATTAAAAACCATGGGCATCCCTTAAAACATTTCTCGAAGTCTGGCCTACTAAATGTTTCAGGGGAAGAAAGAAAACCAAGAAAACCCTCATGTTACTTCTTACTGTAAGGGGTTTTGGGTCTAATTTGGACATTAGTAAATCAACGGTTCACAATATTTTAAAACCCGCAAAATATCATTCCTATCAAGTAAATCTCATTAAAGAGCATTTAGTCGTAGTTTTTGCAACAACACTTTTACAACGACAACGAAGACTTTGCAAAAACATAATTGTTACCGACGAGCGAACATTTACATTGAGCGGACAAGTAAATAGACAAAATTATCGATATTGGGCTACCCAAAATTCATATTGGGCAAGAAAGTCACACTCAATATCCGCAAAAGATCAGTGTGTGGAGCGAAATAGTACGGGAAACTGTCCTGGGTCTGTACCTTTTTGAAGAAACCTTAACTGGAGAGAGATGTTTAGATTTTTTCAAAACGATATCATTCATTTCATAACAGCCAGATTTTCCGATAATGTTAACCCAACCCTATTCTAACGGCAGTTATTCCAACAAGATGGCGCACCACCACACTTCAACAAGCTATACTAAATTACTTTTTGACACTTAGGAAATTGTTTTAAGTAATTGGTTACCATAGCTACTCATGGCTACTGCTATTTTTATCATGTTATGCAAATTTGAATAGTTAAACTTTAAACTAATTTTTCTTGAAAATTTTCTTATGTAACCAATATTAATATTGACAGTACTAGATTCAGACCAATATCCTCTTTCATATTCCGCAATAAAAATTGCTCGTTTAAAAATGGCGGAAAAAATTTAAAATCTGCACTAAAAAATTGCAAAAAATTTAAATCTTTAGACCCGTTTCAGGGATTTTTCCATAAACCGTTTGTAATGATTTTATCGCCTATATCCGTTACTTTACGGACACGCTGTATAATCTATTTCTTGGAATATGAGTATGAAAATTTCCCAAAGTGTTAATAGGAGTGTCCTCTTGCCAATGAACCAACCGGTTTTGAGAAATAACTTTTAGTTTTTGAGAAAACAATATTTGTAGTTTTGATAAAATTTTCGATGTTGCAATTTTAATCGATAATTTTCAAAATTCGCTATAAAGTTGATTTGTTGAAGGATCCTTGTGAAAATATCACCAATTATTAGTTAAAGTATCCTCTTTTTAATGCAACAAGCCGTTTTGAAAAATCGGTTTTAGTTCTTGAGAAATAAATTTTTGAAAAATTCGTATAAAATCCATTTTTTGGAATATGAGTATGAAGATTTCCCAAAGTGTTAATAAAAGTGTCTTCTTTCCAATGAACCAACCCGATTTGAAAAATAGCTTTAGGTTTTGAGAAAACAATATTTGAAATTTTGATAACATTTTCAATGTTGCAATTTTCATCGATAACTTTCAAAATTCGCCATAAAATTAATTTCTTGAAGGATCCTTGTGGAAATATCACCAATTATTAATTAAAGTATCCTCTTTTTAATGCAAAAAGCCGTTTTGAAATATCAATTTTAGTTCTTGAGAACTAAATTTTTGAAATAATCGACAATATTTTCGAATTTTGCAATTTCCGCCGATTAAGTTTTAAAAATTTCGTATAAAATCCAGTTCTTGGAATATGAATATGAACATTTCCCAAAGTGTTAATAAGAGTGTCCTCTTTCCAATGAACCAACCCGTTTTGAAAAATAGCTTTTAGTTTTTGAGAAAACAATATTTGAAGTTTTGATAAAATTTTCGATGTTGCAGTTTTCATCAATACCCAGTAAACAATTTGCGTTTCAGAAACATTTTATTATGATATGTTTCTTCGACATATTTCTGAAACATAGTTGAAACGTGTCTGAAACTGCTAATGTCTGGCCCTTTTTATGTTTCATTGAAACGTTTCTAATGTCCTTTATGTCCCTCATATTGCAACATACAGCTGTCAATTACGGGTACATTACTAAAATGTTTCATTAACGGTTTTGAATTATTTCTGAAATGTAATAGTTATTTATTGTGTAAGTGTTTTAGATAGCATTTTATTCACGCAAGAATGTTTATGTTTTAATTTTCTTAAGTGAATCCACAATCACACTCATTTAGAATCAAAATCGCCAAAATTTCATCTGATGCTATCAAAAAATGATTTGATATTTCACTCTGACAACGGCTGTCACCTCAAAAATCATTGCAATTAACTAAAAAAACATTGTGAGGTATTGAATTGTTGCTATTTATTTTCGATTGTTTACCGACTCCATTTGTAACATATTTGTAAAAGTGTAAAAGTTGTAAAGGTAAAATTGGTGAAAAATGGAAGAAAGTGATATGACAAATCAAACAATAAATAATAAATAGGATAATATGATTGATTTAAGATTGTATTTTTCATTATTCCACTACTATCCGTGCAAAAAGTCAAGGCCCCTCACTTTAGAGAATATATCTATATTGCTATATCTTCGCAACCGTTCGATAAAAAAAATTGCGACAAAGCTTGTTGTAATCACTGAACATTTCTACGTAACATATTATACTAATTTGAAAATTTTCGGATCCACGGTTTTCTTTTTATCACGAGTTAAATGAAAAAAGTAACCGATTTTTGAGAATACCGGCAACTTTGTCACCTTTGCGATTTTTTGTCTCGAAAACTATCGTACGAAAAAATTTTAATTTTGAGCAGGTGGTAGCCTGATGTGTTCTTAATGAGTGGCACATTTTACTTTTTCGATATTCCATATAGTTTCACGGAAAATGGCGGTTTAGTAGGACGCCGTTATGTCGAAAACGGCTGGGTGGATTTCCTCGTGGATTTGACCAAAATATATCAAATAATGTCGATTGTCGGGTTCCGTTATTAGTTTTTCAAAATTAGAGATCCCTAATTTTTGAAGAGCGATTTAATGAAATTACAAATTAAAGAGAAACAGAAATAAGCTCTGCGGGGTGCCAGGGGTTCCGTCGAATTGAAACAGATGGTGCATCCCAGACAGGACGTCACGCCTTGTTTCTTTATGTAGGTAAGATAAAGGCGCGACGTACTGTCTGGGACATACCATTTGTTCTGATTGGACGGAACCCTCCTCGAAGATATTCCAGACATGCTTCAGACACATTTGTAGAGAAATGTTTCAAATGAAATGTTTCTGCTACATATTTTAATGATATTTCATAAATATTCCTACTGAAATGTATTTGATTAGATATCTTTAGATACGTTTCGTAAAACTCGTACCTGTCACGTATGTATATGAAACATAGTTCTAAGATGTTTCATTTAATTCACTGTACATTAAAATTGAGATGTTTCACAGATGTTTCTTGTTTACTGGGTAACTTTAAAAATTCGCTATAAAATTCATTTCTTGAAGCATCCTGGAAATATTTTAGAGCTGCTTCGTTAGCTAAATCAGCATCAAAAAAGTTCATTTTGTATCTTGGATCCAAATAAGTTGACATATCTTATCAGCTTTCTTATTAATTTCATTTTTATTCAAAGAGCGCAGTAATGTGGCAATATAGGGTATCACTTCAAAAATGCACCAGAAATTATAACCATAATGGCCGGATAATCGGATATCCGGCTTTTCGCAAAATCACTAATTGAAATAATGAAAAATATGAAGAAAAGATTTCGATTCCGAGAAAATTGTAGTTACGGCCTGTATTTTTCAAAAACGTACAAACGATCCGAAACCTTCATGTATAACTCAAAACCTGTTTATAATACATTTATATCTCTAAATCCCATAATATAAATACGGCCTTATAAATAAGCAATTAATGTATACATTTTTAAGGGATTTATATTATAAAAACGAAAATTATCATAAATTTTATGACAGGGCGCCCACTCGAAGGNACTTTTAACGTTTCAAATAATTATTATTAGTCTGGTCAAGATGGCTACCCGTGAATAATGATTATTATTCACCGTTATTATTCACTCCGTGAAAAATGACTACCATTTTGTTTTAGAAAACTCATTCATAAGGTATATATTATAAGGTAGTCGTGGACAAAGTAACTTTATTCCACTACTATCCGTGCAAAAAGTCAAGGCCCCTCACTTTAGAGATCTATATCTTCACAACCGTTCGATAAAAAAAATTGCGACAAAGTTTGTTGTAATCACTGAACATTTCTACGTAACATATGCTAATTTGAAAATTTTCGGATCAACGGTTTTCTTTTTATCACGAGTTAAATGAAAAAAGTACCCGATTTTTGAGAATACCGACAACTTTGTCAACTTTGCGATTTTTTTTCTCGAAACTATCGTACAAAAAATTTTTAATTTTGAACAGGTGGTAGCCTGATGTGTTCTTAATGAGTGGCACATTTTACTTTTGCGATATTCCATATAGTTTCACGGAAAATAGCGGTTTAGTAAGACGCCGTTATGTCGAAAACGGCTGTGTGGATTTCCTCGTGGATTTGACTAAAATATATCAAATAATGTCGGTTGTCGGATTCCGTTATTACTTTTTCAAAATTAGAGCTCCCTAATTTTTGAAAAGCGATTTAATGAAATTACAAATTAAAGAGAAACAGAAATAAGCTGAGGTGCGTCCCAGACAGGACGTCGCGCCTTATTTCTTTATGTAGGTAAGATAAAGGCGCGACGTACTGTCTGGGACATACCATTTGTTCCGATTGGACGGAACCCTCCTCGAAGATATTCCAGACATGTTTCAGACACATTTGTAGAGAAATGTTTGAAATGAAATGTTTCTGCTACATATTTTAATGATATTTCATAAATATTCCTACTGAAATGTATTTGATAGATATCTTTAGATACGTTTCGTAAAAATCGTAAAAATGAAACGTAGTTCTAAGATGTTTCATTTAATTCACTGTACATTAAAATTGAAATGTTTCACAGATGTTTCTTGTTTACTGGGTAACTTTCAAATTTCGCTATAAAATTCATTTCTTGAAGCATCCTGGAAATATTTTAGAGTTGCTTCGTTAGCTAAATCAGCATCAAAAAAGTTCATTTTGTATCTTGGATCCAAATAAGTTGACATATCTTATCAGCTTTCTTATTAATTTCATATTTTATTCAAACATCGCAGTAATGAGGTGATATAGGGTATCACTTCAAAAATGCACCAGAAATTATCACCATAATGGCCGGATAGATAATCGGATATCCGGCTTTTCGCAAAATCACTAATTGAAATAATGAAAAATATGAAGAAAAGATTTCGATTCCGGCAAAATTGTCGTTACGGACCTGTATTTTTCAAAAACGTGCAAACGCTCCGAAACCTTCATGTATAACTCGAAACCTGTTTATAATACATTTATATCTCTAAATCCCATAATATAAATACGGCCTTATAAATAAGCAATTAATGTATACATTTTTAAGGGATTTATATTATAAAAACGAAAATTATCATAAATTTTATGACAGGGCGCCCACTCGAAGGTTAAAAATTAATAAATTTTTAAATCAAAATAAATTTGATTAGATTTTTCTTTTTAGATTATTCGCTGCGAATCAACGACCAAAGCGAGTTAATTGTGTCAGTGAAAAACTGAAATGCATCTTTCATTATTTTCGACGAATTTTATCAACAAGTTTGTAACATTTTTATTTTATAATTCTAAAAATTATTATGATTATAATCTAATTACTCAATTTTACACTTTTTTTAAAGCTCCTTGTGGAATAGTAACTTTTGAAAGAAAACACGTAAGAAGAAACCAAGTTGCAAGATGGGATCGATTGGAAAACCTTTTAAGTACAACAAAAATTCATGTTTGCAGTTCAGGAACCATAGAAGATGGCTCAGGATGTTTACAAGTTGATTTTGCAAACAAGTAATGTAATTAAAAATGCGATGAGACTAGAAATTTATTTTGTTTCTTTGCTTTTAGATTTGTAGGTGGAGGAGTTTTAGGCTATGGTTGCGTCCAAGAAGAAATAAGATACATAATTTGCCCTGAATTAATCGTAAGTCGGTTATTTACTGAAGAATTAGGCATGACAGAGGCCCTCGTTATCACAGGTGCCTTTTAACTTTTTACACCAATTTTTTATACAACACCTAACATAATACAAATTTTAGGAGTTGAGCGATACAGTAAATATAGCGGATACGGAGATACATTCGCTTGGAGCGGTAATTTCGAAGATAACACCCCATTCGATTTATACGGAAGACGAAAAACAACCGTTGTAGCCATAGACGCTGTTAAATTTAACCGCCCTTACGATCAATTTAACTCCTCGTTAATACTCCGAGAATTAAACAAAGTAAATCCTCCGTATTAATTCAAATTTAAATTAATAACTAAAATTTTAGGCTTATGTAGGGTTTCATTCGCATTGTGATAATAAACTTGCACCTGTTGCGACTGGAAATTGGGGTTGTGGTGCTTTTAAGGGTGATCCGAAATTAAAATTTCTCATTCAATTAATGGCTTGTAACGTAACCCATAGGAATATGGTGTATTATACGTTTAAAGATGAAGAACTTCGCGACACAATTCATAAAATATATTCGTTTTTAACGAATCATTCAGTAAAAATTTGTAAGAAAAAAAAGGTATAATTCAAGAATCATCATGTTAAAAATCGACTATTAAAACAATAATCGCAATTAATTTAATTAAATCACTTTAAAGTTTCGACGAGACGTCACTTTTTGTACCATATATTTTTGGTTAAAACGCATATTTTCGGGTGAAATACGTTTGTCTCTTAGGTTTTCGACGCATAACGAGTAAAATGTCGTTGTTTAGCCTCTATAAACTAAAGATAACCTAAAATCTTTAACTTATTGGTTCCTGAATGCTAGATACTGTAGGCAAAAGATTAATTAATTATTGCTATCAGAAGGTTAAATACTGATAGTAAAAGACTAAAAACTGCTTGGAAAGAGGATATACTATTTCAAAAAGTTACCTACTGCTTCTAAAATGCTAGATACTGCAGAAAAAGACCACAACTTACTTGGAAAATACTAGATACTGTTTTCAAAATAATACCTATTGCTTTCAGAACGCTAAATACTGCTGTGAAAGGTTTTGACCTACTAGAACAGGCTTGGAATACTGCTTCCAAGACTACTTATTGCTTTTAAAGACTTTAATAATTGTTTGGAAAAGAGATATGCTTTCCAAAAAGCTACATACTGCTTCCAGAATGCTAAATACTGTTGGAAAAGGATAATAACTGTTTGGAGAGAAGAGATATGCTTCCCAAAATGTTACCTAATGCTGTCAGAATGCTAAATACTACTAGAAAAGACTAATAACTACATGGAAAGAAGAGATATGCTTTCCAAAAAAGGTACCTACTGCTTCCAAAATGGTAAACACTGGTGGAAAAGATTACAATCTGTTTGAAGAAGACTAGATAGTCCTAACAAACAACTACAAAATGATTGGAAAGGCGAAATACTACTTCAATAAGACTACTTACCGCTTTCAGAGCGCTTTATACTACTAGAAAAGATTACGACCTGCTTGGAGAAGACTAAATACTGCTGAGAGAAACTATTATCTGCTTGGAAAGACAAAATACAGTTTCTAAAAAACTATTAACTACTTTCAGAATGCTAAATATTGTTGGAGAGACTACTAATTGCTTGGAGAAAGCTAGATATTGTTGGCAAAGACTATTTAATGCTTCCAGAAGACTATACACTGCTGCCAAAACACTACTAAGTGCTTGGAGATTACAATACTACTGGCTGAAGACTATTTACCGAAACTATTCTTCTGTTGAGTGATATCTTTCTGTGTCCCTTCCATTGCAGATTTAAAAATTGCTGCTACAACACTCGATTCTTTGTCACCCAGGCGCAATATATCTTTTTAGATGGGGGTTGCGCCTTCTCTTTAAACGTTACATTCGGATCCACTTTGAGTTAGGTTAATTAACATTTAAACCAGTGTGAATTTCTCAAATGTGTTGGGCATGGAGCAGAGGGTGAGTTGAAATTCCGGGTTGAATACTTTTTACCTACTGCTTCCATAATGCTAGATACTGGTGGAAAAGATTACAATCTGCTTGGAGAAGATTAGATAGTGCTAACAAACAACTATAAACTGATTGGAAAGACGAAATACTGCTTCCATAAGACTACTTACTGCTTTCAGAGCGCTATATACTACTAGAAAAGATTACGACCTGCTTGGAGAAGACTAAATACTGCTGGGAGAAACTATTATCTGCTTGGAAAGACAAAATACAGTTTCTAAAAGACTATTAACTACTTTCAGAATGCTTAATATTGTTGGAAAGACTACTAATTGCTTGGAGAAAGCTAGATATTATTGGGAAAGAATATTTAATGCTTTGAAAAGACTATGTACTGCTGCCAAAACACTACTAAGTGCTTGGAAATTACAATACTACTGGCTGAAGACAATTTACTGAAACTATACTTCAGTTGAGTGATATCTTTCTATGTCCCTTCGATTACAGATTTAAAAATTGTTGCTACAACACTCGATTCTTTGTTACCCAGATGCCACATATCTTTTTAGAGGGGGGTTCGGCCACTTTGAGTTAGGTTAATTAACATTTAAACCAGTCAATTTCTCAAATGTCGGGTCGGGCATGGAGTAGAGGGTGGGTTGAAATTCCGGGTTGAATACTTTCTACCTACTGCTTCCACAATGCTAGATACTGGTGGAAAAGATTACAATCTGCTTGGAGAAGACTAGATAGGGCTAACAAACTGATTGGAAAGACAAAATACTGCTTACATAAGACTACTTACTGCTTTCAGAGCGCTATATACTACTATGCTGCTTGGAAAGACAAGATACCGTTTCCAAAAGACTATTCACTACTTTCAGAATGCTAAATATTGTTGGAAAGACTACTTATTGCTTGAAGAAAGCTAGATATTGTTGGCAAAAACTATTTAATGCTTTCAGAAGACAATATACTGCTGCCAAAACACTACTAAGTGCTTGGAGATTACAATACTACTGGCTGAAGACTATTTACTGAAACTATCCTTCTGTGTCTCTTCCATTACAGATTTCAAAATTGCTGCTGCAACACTTGATCCTTTGTCACCCAGATTTACTGATTTATTTCAGAATTCTGTGTAGAAATTCCACTTTGAGTTAGGTTAATTAACATTTAAACCAGTGCGAATTTCTCCAATGTCGGGTTGGGCATGGAGCAGAGGGTGGGTTGTAAATTCCGGGTTGGGCTAAACCCGATACTTTCTAATTCTAGGTCTAGTGTTAGTTCTAGTTTTAAATGTATTTGATTGTGGTATATTTTTACTGAAAGAAAATAGAACAAATACCAGACCTAGAACCAGGAACATTCGGGTTTAGCCCTGCGTCTCTTAAGATGGCTAAACTTGAGTATTTATAGTTTTATATCTAATGCTGGTTCTAGTGACAGTGGTAGGTGGCGCTAGTTAGCATAAGATATCACTATGTTGCATATTTTTATTGCACTAAAACTAGAACTAACACTAGATCTAGAACTAAAAACATCCGGTTTAGCCGTCTGCGTCTGAAGAACCAGAAACATTCGGGTTTAGCCATGTGTCTCTTAAGACGGCTAAACCTGAATGTTTCTAGTTTTAGGTCTAATCTTAGTTCTAGTGATAGTGGTAGGTGGCGCTAGTTAGCATAAGATATTACTATGTTGCATATTTTTATTGCACTAAAACTAGAACTAACACTTGAAAATGGTTGATTCCAACATCGTTAAGTAGAATAATGTGTAAATGAAAAAAACGATGAATTGAATTTACTTGTTTATTTATATTCGGTGCGACATATGTTGCTAAATCTATAGATTTCTTCTTCAGGCACGACGTCAAGTGTGAGAAGCACGTGATTCCATGAGGTTGCAGAGCATAAAAAAATGTTTTTGGAACACTTACACAAACTAAATATAACTACTAGTCTAAAATTATAACAAAAAATTTAAAATCAACAGTTTAAAATATGTTAAAATAAATAAAATCCAGAAAATTTAATTTTATTGAGACGAAACTAAACGAATAAGACAGACACGTTTGACAGAACGTGTCAATTTTCTGAATTTTATTTATTTTAATATATTTTAGACAATTGATTTTAAATTTTTCGGTCTAGTGTTAGTTCTAGTTTTAACACAGAGTCTATTTTAGTGGTGTTTCATCCGAAAATATACGTTGTAATCTCACCTAGTTTAGTGAAAATAACTTTCCTTTTAAGTTTATCAGATTGATTTTGTGCGTGGCTATAACATAAACAATTTGTAGGTCAGGTGTTGACCTGTTTAATAGGAAAATGCATGGTTAACATTGCTTTTGTGACATCACATCGTAACTTTAATGTGATTTTTCGATATGTTCTACACTTTTCCGCACTTTCTTTTTGTTTTTAACGTGTTTTTCGAATCATTTCACATTGATTAAAAAAAAATCGTCGATTTTTAAGCCACATCATGATTCTTGAATTTTTCCAGATAATTAAATCAGAGATAATGTTACAAGTTTATATTTTTAGTTGAATTGTGGAGGTTATTATGTAGATTTACCGTCGCTCAAGAAAAACAAGAAAATTTCGTATCATTTATACAAAAAAGTTACCTAGAGGTGAAAAAACAACCGTCGATAAAGCAATTTTTCACCCCAATCATGTTCAAAAATAGTAAAAGTGAGGTTAAGGAGAAAGTTGGTGAAGCTTCCATGAAAATCCCCGATGCCCAATCGACAGAGCCCTCTGTTGATGAAAAGATGGAGGTTGATGTTGACACCGTCAAAATTGATTTTGGATGTGATAATGATGACGAAATCGATAATGATATTGTTGATGCTGCATCTGTTGAAAATAAAGAACCAAAAAAATCAAAAATAAAATGATAAATTAATAAAGTATGTGATTATTACTTGCTTTTATTTTGAAACCCCCAATTCATAATTGATACTGACATCTATCGATTAAAAAATTAAAAATCTATAAAAATTGTTACAATTAAAAAATGACACCGTTGATAATGATATTATTGATACTTACGATAAAAAATTAAATATTAATAAAGTTTTAAATAAAATATTATTTTGATTGATTTTTCAAATGTGCCTTTACTATTTCCATCCTTCTCTTTTCCTCCTTGTTTTTTCATCGGTTATCTCTTTTCAACGCTATCTACGCTTGTCTATTTGGAATTACATTGGAGATGTCAAAAACGTCAAATCGGCTGGAGTGAAAAATCGGGGCGTTTTGTACGAAAATGATCAAGTTACAACCGATCCAGACGAAACATGCTTAAACCGGCACCTTTTTCGACATGCCCCCGTGAAAAAGGTAAGTAAGTCGGCCCCGTAACTCCTAAAATCAATGGTTTGTTTTCATCATGTCAACCATATTAGAGACTTACTCCAATATTTGTTGTCTTTCATTTGTTTTTTTATTGTTATAACCGGCTTATTACGTTTTTTTCAAAACAATTCCTTAAATTATCAACAAATACTTATATAATGAAATAAATACTTTTTTAATCACCTTTTCTTAGGTTATTTTTAATCATTCAAGATGAATATCATGCGAAAATTACGTAGTGGGATGTCGAACGCCCAAAATGCGTCGAACCACGACATCCCAGACACCGTACCAGGATCACCACACACTCAACTGGGCTTAATGCACCTGAAGAAGCTTTTTTCTGAGTATAGTCATCCATCCCATCCACTCTCTGATGCCGAAAAAGACGACAAACTCTACAACATGTTACCATTATTTTGTAAAGTTTTCGGGGCGAGTCCTTCTCATGATATGAACGAGAAGTTTTGGGATATCCTCGCGTTTTGTCAACAAGTTTCTCTCTTAATGGTCTCCGAGATACGTAAACGCGCTTCTAATCAAAGTACGGAAGCAGCGAGTTGTGCCATTGCTAAGTTTTTGGAGATTGAAAATTGTGAGGAATCAAGTAATGGGTGGATGTTGTTGTCTACCTTGAATTTATTGGCAGCAGGAGATTCTAATTTAGTACAAGTAAATTAAATTAATAAATAATTTTATTAATGATTTTTAAAAAATTAAAAATTTTTTTTTAGGTTATGTCAGATGTTTCAGTTCCCTCAACATTAGTAAAATGCTTATATTTATTCTTTGATTTACCTGAGATGAGTGAACTGGAGGCGAATACTAAAGATGGAAATAGTGATTTTACACCCAGAGAAAGAAGGATTTTACTTCAAAAAATTTTTGTACAGGTAAATTAAAAAAAATTTAACGCCCGTATGCATAGTTGATCGCTAACGACTCACTGAAGTTTATCTTGGTGATTCTCCAAAGAACGGTTTGAGCTTAATTTGTATTGCATAGTCCAGGAATGGGCAAACTTAATGTGGTATGATTGACATTAATTTTTCTTATTTATGCGCGACTTATTTCAAAAAATGGGTTAAATTAAAAACAAATCAATATTTAATTAAGGTCTTTATTGATAATTAGGGCAACTAAAAATATGCTCTAAAAATAGCGCTTAAAAAGTGTTCTGTAAAAATCAAAATATGCTCTATAAAAAGTTTTTGAAAGTGTAAAATCCAAAATGACATTATTGTTAATAATCATTTCCAATTTTCGTAATACTATCTACATAATCTTTAGTATTCTGTTGTTCTTACAGTTAATATTTTTTTAAATAGTAATGCATTAGGTCTATCTTCGTTAATGAAAAGCCATGAAAATCAATTTACACACATTTTTATTAACAAAAGTAGTATTTCATACATTTCAGTAATATGAATGTATTGATGCCTATGCTACAACTGTCTAGGACAGGGGTTCTCAATCTTTTTTATACTAAAACTCCCTTTACAGGTTTGTAGCTCTAGCAAACATTAAGATTACTTTATGTATTTATTATTTTTAATTAATATCAAATCGGGGTTGAAGTTTTAAAATCGCTACTCTCATTTCTTTTTCTAATTTGATTTGTCATCTGCATTTTGACTTAATTACTGCAACTGCAGGAAATCCAATTTCACACAAATACGACATAAGAAACGGTAAAAGAATCTTCAAAGCGGTATTACTGAGAGTAGAATATTCTTGAGATGCATTGATCTAAAATTGAAAAAGTTTGTCTTTGTCGAATCGTAGTTTTAGGCTCGTGTCACAAGATAGTTCTAACAGTTGTTCTTTCTTGACTGTTAAAAGTGCAGATGGGAGTGTGGTCGATTGGAATGGATCTCTAATCAAGATTCTGTGAAAAATATCTATCAAAATGGGTGCTTATGTTGATAAGTGTTGGATTAGTATCAATTGCAAACTTGGCTTTAGATCTTAAACAGATTTTTCTTGCAGGAAGCCTTTTAAAACAGGAAAACAATCAGTATTTCCTTGCCTATTTTTCTTTTACACAACTTCTTTTGAAACGCTGCAATTTTATCAACCAATGCGTTTCATTTCCCTGCTGCGATTTATTAAGAGTATATAATTTTTCAAATATGTCGCAAAGATACGCCATTTTCATTAAGAAATCAGTATCTTTAAACTTTTCAGCGTCAGGATGCGATTCTGTCAATAAATACGCATACAACTCAATTCTTTCTCTCTATGTATGATACAATGCGTCCATTTTGAATTTGAAGCCTTGATTTTAATGAGAGTTTTAAATCCTCAATATTGCCCTGACATTGAACGAGCTCCATCCGTACACACAGACACAGTTTTCCCATTGAACGTTATTTTCGTCCATGTATGAATCTATAACTGTAAACAAATCACAAGACTTCCCGGTAGCAGCCATTTTTTTGCAAAATACCAAATCCTCACATACATTTGTTGTTTCCATGTACCGCACGCAACATACTAATTGAGCGTCATTGTTATTGTCTGCCCCTTCATCCAGTTGAATGGCAAATAAACCAGAAAGTTTTTTCACAATTTGCTCATTAATGTCTTCATCAATGTCATGTATGCGACGACTAATCGTATTGTTAAAAAGAGGAATATTTTGTATATAGGTAAAATTAGATCTTCAGCAATCATATGTGGTTTTTGAATTTAACAATATGGTGAGCGACCTTGTAAGAGGCAGTGCTTGCGAGGAATAGATGCTCTGGATAACAAGGATGTCCACTGTTATTTTATTTCTCGCAATTTTCTTACAAAAAAATCTCGCGGTTTTCCTTGTAAATTACTGTGAGATGTTTCTAAATGGCGTTTTATTTTATTAGGAAGTATACTTTCAGCTGCTAGCAGCTTGTGGCAAAAACACATTGAGGTAATTCCATATTTTCATTGCTAACGTAGGTAAATTCAAAATATAAATATTGGTCGTTACAAAATTACCATTGGCGCTCCAAGGCGTCGCGACGCACAGTTCAGAAAATTCCTTGTCTAGGAAATGCATAAATATTCTAAATGCAGTGAACTAAAAAATAAACTAATGGAATAACGAAAAACTTATATTGAATTCTAAGCTGGCGCATAAAATTTAGGTATAAGATTTTTGTTTAATAACTCCAATATATCTGCTCTTTTTCTCTCAGAAATTCCTGGTTTGCGATCATAAACTTTTTTAAGGGCTATTTTCATAGATTTTTTTTTAATATTGCGTTTTTAAATGTTTCGCTATAAGAGTGCTTGTAATATAAAATCTGTAAAGACATTATAATTCTTCTATTTTTAAAATTTTGATATCTCAAAATTAACTAATTCGTTGTCCTCATTTTAAGTGCCATTGAATCTCATTTCTGTACAAATATCCTTCCATTCAAAGAAATCTTCATAGGATATTTCTTTTACATGGTAGGGCTGTTCGTTTTTCTATTCCGATTTGATTGCCTCTCTATGAGAGAATGCGCAGTCTCCCTCATTTTGAGTATGCCATTTAATTAAAAATTTATGAGTAATGGATCGGATATTAGGAAGTTTTTGCAAACAGTATGAATAAACAGAGACATTAACTTATGTTTTTGTAGGCTAGCACAATTATGCGAATAGAAAATAACATCTACATCATTTTCTTTTATTGATTTTACGTGTAAATAGTTATAACGCGAGTCCCTAAATCATTTACACCTCTATTTTCACAGGACTTGTACCATACAAAGTATTCTACTTTATTATACTGTAACTCATACAGTCTAAAACATTTAATTTTCTAAAACACTTAATTTTAATTTGTAGTAAAAGATGGATACGTCGCCTTTCGGGCATTGAAAAATCGCCTGTAGATCGTAAACGGCGACCACTCTGTTATTTTTCTCTTTGTCACGTAATTTTTGTAATCGTGACAGTTCTTTTTCTTTTAAATGAAGATCGTAGCTTTCTTTTTTTGTTTGTTTTGAGATTGAGATCTTTAAAAAAGATCCTTCTTGGGTTGAAAAAAAGAAATGTTAAACTTTTCAGTAAAAATCCTGTAAAAAAGTATGTAATTGCTAAAAGGAATATTTTTCTCTTTACACTTATTAACATAATCTTTATGAAATTTACTACCGTCATTGAAATATTTGAATGTATTTATAATGACCTTCGATTTTTGAAATCGAGTTAATATGGTCCTTGATATCAGCTGTAATACCACGCTGGTCTTTTGCTACAAGGGCGTAGCCAACTTTATTTTGTTTTTCTAAAACTGTGCAAATCGGTCGGTCTGTTATATCTAAAGTTGCTTTAAAGAAAGTTTTGCAAACTTTAATTTTTTTCGGGTATGTAAAAGTAAAAGGAATTGTTATTATTTCGCCGAGGTCTAGTACCACCTTCTCGAATGTACCAATAATTCGGACCAATTTGCTTCCATACATTTAGATATAAAATTTCATTGACTCTCATTATCACCCAAATCTCTTCTTGAGTAAATTTTCACCAGCATTGTAACTTACACTTTTCTTTACATGGTGGTTTTATTTCCTTCATCTTAACCATTCTCTTGTGAAAAGTGTGAGATTGGTACTTTTTACCACCAAGTCTCAAGTCCAATCTCTTTAATACATTCTTCATCCACATTTTCTCGTTTCTTTCACGCTTTTTTCTCTTTTTTATTGGATTTGTCAATGGTAATGTATTACAGATTGTGGAATCTGAAGATGTGCTTGGTAACAAACAGGTGTCTCTGGTTTTTTCGGTCAAAAGCTCATTGCTTGGAAAGTTCTTCAAGTTATTGGATCCACAATCCATGCCTATTTCAGCACCAGTGGGAATTTGAAAATTGCATGGAATGGACTGGAAATCATACTCAGTTAAAAATTGATTTAAAATAACATTTATTCATTTTCTTTATTTTTGAAAATCGTTCAATAATTTATCAACAAAGTGCTGTTTCTATTTGAAATATTTTTAGAAAGCTACCTCAAATATGAATAAAAAACATATAAGAAGATAAATTTTGTAAAATAATTTCTTAACTGTTAAAAAATTCGTGCAAATTATCGATATTTTGAGTCTCCAAACGTAAATCAAAATAAAACATCGTGCGTACTCGTGAATTTCTTGGCGATTCAAACTTTGAATTGAAATTTCGGCGAGTCGTTGGCAATCTACTATGCATACAGGCGTAAATAATTCCAATTAATTTTAATTAATTTCTTTTAAGCTACTTGTAAGATTATGTAGTCATCGAATCCCAGCTGAAGAATTAGCAAGGAAAGATGACCTCACACTTTTATTCTCAGCAATAACCTCACCATGTCGTCTCCATAATATAATGTGGAGAAAAAGTGCGGCGGAAGTATTAATGACTTTATCAAGACATGGATTAAGTCCACCAGTTGTGGGATATATTCACTGTTAGTTCTTATAAATGTTTTTTAATTTTAAATTAATTAATTGGGATTTTAGCGAAAAGTTGTGTTGCTCTTTGTATTGATAACATGCAAAGAGTTCCAGAATTAGCCCCATTGGAAGTTGTAGAAATGTTCGTAACGATGTTTTGCTTTCTAAAAGATTCCAGTGATGTTTCATCGACACTTTTAGATGATTTTAGACAAGCGCAAGGTTATTTATTTTTATCGGATTTTCTTTTAAAGTAATAATTAGTACTAAATTATTTTATATTAATAATTTTAACCTAAAATTATTTTAGGTTGGAAAATGAACGCTCCACCGACGCTCAAGATTCAATAAGAAATTTGATTTTAATGATAACCTCGTTATGTATGTGCGGCTATTTAGAATTAAAACCATCGCAAGCTTCAACAGGTTCTCTATTTCAATTGCAAGGGTTCTCATTACCGCAACCTTCCGGAAAAGGAACCAGCGTTCGGAATGTGCAAGCTTTTCACGTTTTACAAACTATGTTTCAAAAATCTAATTCTCCGATGCTTTGCTCGGTTATTTTAGATGCAATTTCAAACATTTATCATTCTGATAACGCGAATTATTTTATCTTAGAAAATCAAAATACATTGAGTCAATTTACGGAAAAAATTTATCATAAACCAGCGGAAATCCAACATAAATTATTCCAATTAATTGAGTTTTTAGTTTTTGAATTGAATTTTGTGCCATGCAAAGAACTAATAAGCATGTCAATTTTCTTAAAAACGCACAGTATGAATCATGTCGAATGTAGCATCATTTGTATGCAAACTTTATTAAATATTTTAAGACATAACAACATATTTAAAGATGTTTATCGAGAAGTTGGGTTATTAGAAGTCTTTGTAACTTGCTTGAATCGTTATGGAAACCTTTTGGAAACGAAAAAAACAGCTGTCGATGCAGGAAAAGATTTTTTTATCCCCATCGGGCAAGAAAGATTTGGAAACATGGTTATCGAAGCATTAACGGTATTATTATCGTCAAATTCATCGAACGCTAACGTTTTACGCGAATGCGGCGGAGCAAAATGCGTTCATAATTTAGTGATTTTCGCTGAATGTCGTCAGGCAACTTTAGGAATAATAAGAGAATTAGTTTTAACTTCCGGTGGTGATGAGGATATGGCACAACTTTTAGCTACCTTACACACAGCTCCAAGACACGCTTTATTATTAAAAATGGATATACTCAAAGCTTTGCTTCAATGCTTAAAAGAATCTCATCGTACAAGAACTGTTTTCCGCAAGGTAAACGGTTTCGTTTATGTAACCAGCGTTTTAATTTCATTGGAAGGAAAGTTATCGAAATATGAACCCGATCCCGATATTTTAAATTTATTACAATTGGTTTTTTATACGATTAGTACTGCCATGAGGTTCGAGCCGGCAAATGCAAAATTTTTTCATCACGAAATTTGCATGACAAGTCTGTGTGATACTTTGAGACTATTAGGATGTTTTTCGCCGTTAAAAATCGAATCTCTTGCGGATTGTGATGAAATTTTAGCGTTGGACATGCACTTACAAGATTTATACCATAAGATATTTATCGGAAGTTTAAATAATTTAACGATTAATAACGATGTACCTGCTACTTTAGCATACGCTACTATTGTGTATAGATTATTATACGATTTAGCTTTGGATTTGTATGATAAACCGAATGCGTCGTCGTCAATTCTTGCCATGAAATCTCTTTCGAGGCAATCATCTAATGAGCCATCGGTAAGAATTAAATTAAATACTCTCTCCGTCCAGAAATAAGTGTCCGCTATCGATTTTTTTTGTCCAAAAATAAGTGTCTGATTTACTTAAAAATTAATTTATTGAAACTTAACTACAAATAACGTTTCTAAGAAACTTTTGATGGGAATTATACTGAATTAATGATGTCTTTTACATGTTGATAAAGCCCAAAATCAAAATTTATAGAAACTGGATCTTTATTCATATATTATTCATATTCCATCTACTTTTATGGTTGCTACTATACACTGTTGGAACTCAATTTGGAAAAGGCTTTTTCAACAGCAAGAACTAATTCGTCTACAGTTTTGCAAGCCGATTGTTGCTGCAATGATTGAATTGCATTAAAAAGCCTAAATCTAAGACGTTTGTATCAGGACTATTGGGTGGCTGACACCAGGAAGAATGTGTGGTTTAGCGCTGTCTTGCTGGATCCAAATTGTTTGCGACGAAATTTTGCTTGAATTTCGGGCAACAATTTTCCAATAATCATGTTCTTATACTCTTCTCTAGTAATATTAGAAACCACTTTCGTTTCAATGGTCCGATTTTTACTGCTCCGTTTAGCAGGTTCCAAAAACAGAAAAGGATAAATGTCAAGTTTTCTATCGAAGTTCTTGTTTTCAGAATAATTCCAACGTGGACGAGCTACAGCGGCTAAGATCATTACTTTTGTGGAAAAACGTTTACCTTTGCAGGTCCTGTGTGGTTCCTTCTCGCCATCAACTACTATCCGTGCAAAAAGTCAAGGCCCCTCACTTTAGAGATTTATATCTTCGTAACCGTTCGATGAAAAAAATTGCAGTAAAGTTTATTGTAATCAGTGAACATTTCTGCGTATCACATGTTAATTTGGAAATTTTCGGGTTTGCGATTTTTCTTTTATCGCGAGTTAAGTGAAAAAAGTACCCGATATTTGAGAGTACCAGCAACTTTGTCTACTTTGCAATTTTTCTCCACAACTATTTGACGAAAGAACTTCAAATTTGAACTGGTGGTAAACCGATGTGTTCTTAATGTGGGGCATATTTTATTTTATCGATATTCCATATAGTTTCGCGGAAAATTGCGGATTTTAACGCGGTTTTTACCAAAATATGTCAAATAATGTCGGTTGTCGGATGCCGTTATCAGTTTCTCAAAATTAGGGCTCCCTAATTTTTTAAGAACGATTTAATGGAATTACAAATTAAAGATCGCCATGCGGGGTGACGGGGGTTTCGTCCAATCGGAACAGATGGTGCGTCCTAGAAAGGACGTAGCGCCTTATTTCTTTATGTAGGTAAGTTAAAGGCGCGACGTACTATCTGGAACGCACCATCTTTCCCGATGGGACGGAACCCCCTTCTCCCCGCATGGCTATTTCTGTTTCTTTTTAATTTATAATTCGCTTAAATCGCTCTAAAAAAATTAGATAGACATAACTTTGAAAAACTGATAACGGTATCCGATAAACGCAATTATTTGACATATTTTGATCAAATCCGCGGGGAAATCCACTCAGATGTTTTCGACATAATGGCGTCTTACTAAACCGCGATTTTCTGTGAAACTGTATGGGATATCGAAAAAATAAAATATGTCACTCATTAAGAACACATCAAGCTACCACCTGTTCAAAATTCAAATTTTTTCGTACTATAGTTTTCGAGAAAAAAAATCGCAAAGTTGAGACTCGCGATTAAAAGAAGACCGCGGATCCGAAAATTTTCAAATTAACATAAGTTAAGTATTATCAGCGATTACAACAAACTTTGTCGCAATTTTTTTTATCGAGCGGTTGCGAAGATATCGATCTCTAAAATGAGGGACCTTGACTTTTTGCACCGATGGTAGGTAATAGGAGTACGTTTCAGCTGTTTTTGTGAGATAAAACCATGAATTCGATCAGGTAATTCAAATTCGACCCCCACCATTGGGATCTCAGAAACCATAAGAGATACAGAAATGGTTAAATGGGGGCAAAGTTGCGTATTGTAGAGGTCATCATTTTTCAACAAAGTTTTTGGAAACTAAAACAGCTAGTTTTAGTTTTTAAAATAAGGCCGAAAAACAAAAAAATTACTTTTTCGTTTTTTGCCTATAACTCCTTTATTTTTCGTTTTTTCATGAATCTGAAAAAACATTCTTAAGGCAACTTTTTATGAAAAATGTCGTGACACAGCTAGATATTTTCTCCGACGTTTGGTTTTCGTGAAACTATTATCAGGTTTATTCTTTTTTTTGAATAATTCAATGTTTTTCTAAATGAAATACATTGTGTGACATATCATTGAAATCAGAATTAATTATCCTATTTTTTTGGTGTGAAAATCAAATATGGCGTTCATAGGACACAAACATAGTTGTCAGATATGGTGATAGTTTTACGTGTAGGAGTTTGTATTTTAAGCCTTCGTCCCAGACTTTATCGAACACTTGGGTTTTTCTTTTACAGGTTTGTGATTTCTTCCGGGTTTCGGAAAAACTACGATGTGTCAAATTGTTTACCCTGTTTTTGGTTTCGCAGCTCCTCGTTCGCTGCCATTCTTGTCTCAATCTGCTTTTTTGTTTTATTAGTTGTAATATTGCAGCTATCGTAAGTACTTGAAGAGATTTACTATTTCGTTTTTTTTTTACGGAACTGTTGATAGTTTTACACTTTCACATATATTATTTGTGTAGTTGGAAATCTATTCCTTCGTTACAATCGATGTCAATTGGTGCTTCAGCCAGACGATCTAGAGTTTCATGAAAAGTTTCCCAGTTTGGTTTGCCATTTATCAGTGTTGGTTATGGTTTATAGTTTTTTGAAAAACTTTGGAACGATTCAACCAATTAAGTCTCGGAAAGCGATGTTCTGAAAATGCCGGCATAAGCAGTTCCACGAACTCTTGTTTTTTATGCGTTACTCTATTATCAAATTGGCAAAGGCGGAGAAATGTCGGAACCTTTTAGACCTCTTTCCAAAGGTATTTCCGAATTTCTTTTGAATTTTTTTTATTGAGCATTCTTAAATAGTATTCTAAGAATTAAAAACTAAAGACAATGTATCGAAGCGGGTAGGAAAATGTTTAAAAATTCATAAATCTTATTTGTTCTTGCTAGATTATAAACGTTAGTTAATTGTTTCTGAAGAAGTTTTAATTTTTTTCAAAAGATGTTTTGCCGTTGTACTGGCAAAAGCTCACGGTAAAATTTTTTTTTTTGAATTACTCTACTTTTATCCACAGATTCAGCTTTTACAATAAAATACCTTGAAAATAAGGTCAAGGTCAAAAATGTTACCGTCATATGGTTTCCCCCTTCGCACAGTACAACTTTCATTTGGTTCATTTTTATGTAAAATGAACTGTTATCGAGATAATCGCGTATTATAATGTGTATTCTTCAAGTGGAATTATTTGTAATGCATTTACTATCGAGATTTGTTTTAATTTAATACCATTTGGGCTATTAGCACGACATCTCCATGTTTTATTTTTACAATTTAAGTCGGCTATCATAAGAGTCGAAGTATTAGAATTAAATATACGTGTTATGTCGTTTTGTATCAACGATTTGTTTGATTGCTTGTAAACAAACTAAATTCATGTTGGCGCCATCTAACGTTTTTATTTTAACACCAACTGCAAATTCAAAGATTTCCGTTCGTTGATTCTTTAGTCCATTCGCGTTCCAGTACATTACGGTGATGTCTTGTATTGTTCGGCTGTTATTGTTATCCATTGATAAGATTAGGAGGTAGGGAATTAGCAATGAATTGTTTAATTTGTGTTATAACTGGTGTAAGGAGATCTCTTAGAAATTTGATTATGGTATCTGTAATTGTTGATGGTGAGGGATGAGGATATAGGATTATGATTAGAGCTTGATGTGGGAGTAGTGTTTATGCTTTTTGCGGTGGGGTGATCATTATTTCCTTGAGGATTCGTATTTGCGATTTAAGTATGGGACGACCTTCAACCTCTATAATTTGCTGGGTGATTATCGCCACAATTAGCGCATGTTGGTGGATCTTTTCTATCTTTTATGCATTTTTAATTAAATGATTTTTTCCGCGTTTAACTGTTTGAAATAGTAATTCTTGGTATGACCAAATTCCTGACATTGATGGCATTGTGGTATGTTTCCTAGTTTTCTTCTCGCTTCAACACTAATTATGCATTGAAAAATTGAATTGATATTGTATGTCTTTGGCATTTTCTTCTGGATTCAGTTCAACTGCGCATATTGGTATTGGTTGTTTATTTTTGTTAAGTCTCTAGTAATCTAGTTACTCTAATAATTGGAAGTTTATGGGTTTATAGTTCGTTGAATATCTCTTCTTCAGTTAATGATATGGGTAAATGTGTTATAATCACAGATATGTCTTTGGAATTCGGGCCTTGAAAAGAATGATATTCAAGGCTTTCTTCAGTATAAAATTTAGTTAACTAGTTAAGTAATGGTACAGACTTTATTAACACCGTCTCATTATTTCTCGGTTTTCGACCAACGCTACTT